CATTAGTGAAAGGGTCGAATGGGCTAAATACTCCCCAATTGTTTAATTAAATATGCTAATTAGAAGAGATAAAACTTGTGTAGACAGTCCTGGCTGAGCCTCTTTTTGAGTAGCCTTTGAGAGGAAGGGGTGTAAAAATTAGCCAATATTTGAGAATTAACCCTAATAATTTACATTTTTTATATGAGGCATTAACAGGAAACATTTAACCTGTGTGGCTAGACTATGACGCTTGTCCTTCGACTTACTACTTTCTAAATATCGTTTGATGATTGAAGAAAATATTTATCCTCCTCCTGTAAGCGGCTCGATAGACGAAGACTCATGATGAAAGGTACAAGTGCTCATCCGTATGCCACCATGCAACCGTTTAGCCTTTGTCTCCTCCAATAAACACATATTTAAAACTTCGCTCCATTCGCTGAGATGAAAATCACAATATTTATCCCACAAAACCCTCTGGGCAAGTTGTTGGTGTGAATGAGAGAAATAGGAGTCATGTGAAGCCGCATGGCAGGACGCCTATTTGCTATGCACTCTGAAGGTGAACAAATGAAATTTTTGGCTGAGAATATTGTGTTTCACTCTAGGATTATTTGCGAAAAGATCTTTAATACTCAGTCTATGTTGTGGTCTCGCGTCCAAGTTCGGGTGGATTTCGAACCTAGTTCCTCGGGTACAGGACAGAAATACCCAACCAGTACGCATCTCCCGTCAGATTCTTGCGGAGAGGCGGAATGCGCTTCAGAAAAGGTCGGTGCCTCAGGCCAACCTGAAGCAGAGCACGCGATTTGGAAGCCCGTCAAGTCAGGTGTTGTTGAAAGTTCATCATGGAAGGGTTGGCTTCCGCACCAAAGCCACCATCGTGCTGGAATTTTGGTCAAGTTGTGTCTTGAGAATATTGGACAGATGGTGCAATTTCGAATATATCCGTCACGGAATTCGCCCACTGCCTGTCCCTTTATCTGCAGCTCCTTTGGCAATTTGCAGCTCTCGAGGACACTATCTGAGGCGAAAGATCGGCTTTGCGTGTGGACTTGTCGTCATTGCAGCACCGACAGCATATCAACAATGGCAGACGGTCTTAGAGTCCGGACACGCTGGAGCAAAACAATTGGAGGAGCAGTGCGCGATAGGAAAATGCATCCTCCGGCGTTGAAGCTAATACCGTGAAGGGCCGAGAATGAGGTCACCTGGGCAATTAGGTCTGGGAGGAGTCAATCGCCTTAACCCTCAGGGTCAGGGCAAGGGGAGTAGGGCAAATTTCTTGGCTCCACTTCACTGGCTGCCGGATGCTCAAAGAGAACGGAGTCCCAATTGATGGGTTCACGAGCTTGTGGGCCGCATGACGGCTAGACGGAGTATACCCCCGACAGAACGGGTATCAGCTTTCTCATAATTTGCTTCCCTTAGACACACATACACACACACGCACGCGTAGGTAGAAGCTGGGGGCGACCCACTCGCCTGAACCCTCCTGACAGCTTCTTCTGTACATTCGAGAGGACACATGTGCTCACACTTTTCCGTCTACCTTGCCTCATTGCTAGTCTCGGAACTCTGCTGACCTAACGGTG